TTTGGATGAATGGAACACCCTTCCAAAAACACTGTATGAGCTATAAACTTGTAACAATTCAAAATATTACATGATTTCAATATAGCTGATGGATCCTCTTCAGATCAGCTCTCTCTCTCCCTCTCTTACACAATTACATTAGAACAATCAGGCAAGAACATATACACACATACACACATGCATCTGTACGCACAAATGTGCACATACTAATACGTGCACATACCTAGAGTTCCAATATCTAGCAGCAGCAGAGTACAAAAACATAGCATTAATATTAATACAGGGCAATGCACTGGACATAAATATGGTACTAGCTCTTTCACAATAGCCATTTTGGGGAAACTTTTGAAGTTACATGCTTAAACTTCTCTATGATTTTTAAACTTTGTAACACTATGAGAGAGAGATGGTAACAATGATGGGAAGGAGAGGAGAGAGATAGCAAATGTAGGGAAAGGGAAAACAGATGGAAAGGGAAAGGACAGGGAAAGGACAGGGAAGTAGAGAGCAACAGGTGCAGGAGAGAGAAAAGGCGAGAGGGACCAATGGAGTGGAAAGGAGGGGAGAGAAAACGGAAAAAGTGAGAGGATGGAGAGAGAAGGGGGGGGGGGGGAGAAAGGCTAAAGAGAGATGAAAATACCCCACTAGTTTTCCCTACCATATTAAATATCAGGAATACAAAGACAAATGAATAATAAAAACAATATAACAACCTATAGTTTTTACTTTACTTCAGATCTCTCTCATTATTTGCCTCTTGTTAAACCACCTATGTAACCAATCTGATAATTGTTACCATCCAACTATAGGCTAGTCTATTTGAACTGATATCAGCTTGACCTTCCCCTTTGCCCTTTCTCACTTATCCTTTACCATTTTACTTCTCTTTTTGTTTCTCTAATGCCAACTCAAACTCTTACTCCTACTCCACTTCCACTCTCTAATTCGCAAAGTTACTCCTATTCCTACTATTTCTCTCTCTTACTTACTCTTACAAGTACTATTACTCTTTTTCTCACTGTCACTCCTGCCCTCACTCCCACTCCCACTCCCATTCCCACTCCCACTCCCACTCCCACTGCCATTGCCATTCCCACTCTTTCTCCTTCTCCTTCTCCTTCTCCTTCTCCTTCTTCTCCTTCTCCTTCTCCTCCTTCTCCCTCTCCTTCTTCCCTTCTAGTAGTCTCCTATGTCCATCTAATTCTTGAATTTACAACAAACCCATTTCAACACATGCCCTCAATTGTCTTTTCTCTTTAACCCTTTATGGATGGGTCACATGTAGACCATGTGTCATAACACTTGGTCTGTGGGTACAGCTGAATGCACAGCGACTCACCAGAGAACATGGAGCAGGAAGTTCCACTAATTGTAGCGGACTCCCACACCCAGTGTCTGGACATTGCCAGAAATCACCAGTTTCTAACGCTCAGGGATTTTTGATACCCGTCGGGGTTGGGTTAATCCATTGTTTTTCTCTAATTTTCATATAATTTGCCAACATGATCTTTATAGATCAAGAGGAGACCACAACCCACAAAAGTTTACGTCTCACAATAATCAACCTGAACTTATTCAAGCCAAACAATGCATTTCAAACAGATGATACATTCATTGCAGAGTCTCTACCACCAATATATAGTCAGTTCTATCACCTTTTTGCAAGATATATTACCAGCAAAATGAATGCTAATCTTTACTCATATCTTTAAGAGGACTTCAAGCTCTTTCTTCACTCAAGTCTAATTCTGCTGAATGGTGATGGTTTAGAAAATGCCAGTCCAAGGTAGCAAGTAAACATTAGTAATTCCTATGATATTAAATTATTTTTTCAAGAGCAGGAAATACTATTCTTTTTATGAAGTCATTCTGTGATCTTAAAAAAGGAAAAAAAGAGAGAACAAAAGGGCAATTCAGACTTAGAGAACCAGACACCTTCCTATATCCGTGAAAAAAGTCAAGTGTTAACACAAAAATAATCAATCCCCCTAACAATCTTCATTGTGTTGGCATCAGAGATAAGAATACCTAGAGAAATAACTACATTTGGGCAAAATACATTGTTTACCAATCATATATACTATCTAAGATCAGTCACAACCACAGTATAACCCAATGCCACTGGGGAAAATGAATAAAAAATGGGGAGAATGCTGTGCCTATTTTCTATATCTTTTGTGAAATGTCTGCCCATAGATGGCTCTGCTAGTGCTTAGCCACAAACTTAGCCACATACTAGTGCTATGAATATCGATGGTGTTATTTTCATTATAAACTACAATTATTAAAATGTTTTTCAACATTAGTAACACAAAATAAGATAACGTAAAATATTTAGTAAATCAAAGAAAGGGGTAAGTGGGCAAGACAGGCAGTACTCGTAATTGGCTCATTGGTGACTTAGTACAAGTGTAGCCATCTATGTGTAAAAACAATCAAACAAGTATTCACAGTAGGCATAGCATGTACGTACACGTCATACCCATCGGCATTTGGTTAATACATAATCATATCTGATCCTTTCTTATCAGCTGTCAAAGAGCCAGGTCCACTGGTCACTGAACCTTTTCATTTTTAAGCGTTGGATGGTACAAATATAAGCATCATCTATTTCTTCTTTTAAAAGTATTCTTTATCAGTCAGGTGACTCATCAATACCTGATAACACATTTTACATAAGATAAAGCATCAAGATAGCTTTAACCCCCTGCCTTATCTCTAATGCCTATACCTGGTACACGTGACCATTTACTCACGGTTTTTTAAACATTATCCTTTTTTCATATCAATATAATTCTGTGTTTCCCTTTCTCTTCCTAAATCAACAAATAATAAATTCCTAAACAATCTCTCTTGCAAACTCTAAATTAACTTTAAAAACTTCAAGCAAACTAACACAGCAATAAAAACAAGGTGATTTTCAAATACCATCTACAATAAAGGCTAACTTATATATAAATAACTCCCTCATACATAATAAATAACATGTCAGTCCTCCTCAACCATAAAAAAAAAATAAAAAAAAATAAAAATAGCCAACTTGTGTCAAAATGGTAGTCTCTAATGGAGTGAAATATGTCCTCTAATCTTCTTTAAATGTGAAGACAATCACAAGAAAACAATAACAAAACACTGAATTCTCATTACTGTTGAACATTAGGGTCTATCAAACTACCAGTTAGTGAGTTAGTGAGTTCATAGTGCGTGGATGTTGGGGGCCTGCACGCTCTACTAGCCCAAAGGTGCCTTGTGTACGTGTCTACTGACCCCTACCCCTGTTGGTGAGGCCCTGCGGGATGGTGGCCGTGTCCAGGTGCAGGGGCTCGGACTTGGTCTGGGGTATGTTGTGGAAGATGCGCTTGTAGTGGTTGTAAACTGCCACACTCAGCACCTTTTTGGCACGCTCTTGTCCCACCACATGATTCTCCAGGTACTCGTAGATCTGGAGGGGGAGGGGAGTGGGGAGGGATGACGAGACAGTTCGTTTGTGGGTCTAGGGTAAGTTGTTGCTTATCATTATTCATCTTTGTCATTTAGAAGAAAGTATCTAGGCAATCACAAGGCAGAAGGGAGGATAATTTAGAAAAATCTGGTTAGATCAATCATTGTACTTTTCTTATTACTTGAACAAGGAATTACTAAGTCTACAGACAACAATCCAAAATGCATTCTATGATAATTCTTTTCTTTTTATCACTCTAAAAAGATTAAAAAGAAAATTAATAAAAATCCCTTAAAAAATGAATATAGACTACCAAACATTTAGATTGTAAATCTAGATATAAAAAGAGGAAAACCAAAATGGCAAATCATTGGCACCAACCTTCTTTGGTGGAGGAGGCGGTCTGCGACTGAAGGAGGTCTTGGGGTCATCTCGCTTTTCCTTCTGCTTGCGCTTGGAGTCCACCTCTGACAGCACCACGAAGAAGTGATGACATTTCTCACACTTCACAAACCGTGTTGAGGCTGTCAATTGAAAACAGGTTAGCATTGGGTGCTAAGTACAGTGTTAAATCTATAGTCATGACATATGGCACTCTTTTTAGAAAGAACTAATGAAAAAAATCTTCAAACAATAAATGGCAAACCACAATTAGATTATGCTTGACATCCTTTCATGAGTGACTGAGTGCATGGAAGCATGCACTGACACGCATGAACATGCATATGCACACCCACACCCATACGCTCACACTCACACCCACACCCACACCCAGACCCACACCCACATCCGCACACGCACATGCACATGCACACACACAAGCATACACTACATACAAAGAAATAAGAGAAAAATACTCACAAACAAAGGTCTCCACATGGGTGCAAGGATCGCCGCACTTGGGACAACATAACTGGTTCTTCTCGCTTTTCTTGCTCTGAGCGTCCTTGTCGTTCCCATCATCGCCCCCTCCACTCCCATCCGTTGGCGGCCCAGCGGAGGACTGGCACAGTGGAATGCAGGTGGAGATTGGACGGGCGAACACCAGGGAGCATCTCTGGGGTTCACGGCCAATGACACGCAAGCACAACACACCTGTGGGAGGGAAGAATATCTTGCTTAATATAGAGAAAGTGGTGTTTTTTTATTTTTTTTTACTGTTCTTTGAAGCCACATCCATTTACAAGCATAATTAGACATTCCATCTATACATCTTACCTGAATACTGTAAGGGTTACTTCAATCGCCCCCAAACTAAAGCAGGAAGTTCCCAAATGATGACAATGTTATGCTGAGAGAGATGGTGACTTTTTCTTTACTTTACAGAGAATAATCATCATATCTTAAGCATAAATGTAGCCATACAATAACAATCAAATATGATGATTTTGCAATCTTAGGTTTCTTTTCAATAATACTATCAAGATGATAACAACAGTAGGAAATAAATAGACTACACACAAAAGATAAATTCTATCTCACTAAAATAAAACCATAATCCTATCACCAGAAGCAAAATAGAATACTTCAAGTTTATCATTCCGGTCTCACTATCAAT